TGTTTGATCTACCCTGTTCTTGAGACTTTCCACTGTATTTTGTAGTTCCCTGAATTGATTCTTCATTTCCAGGAGTTCGGTTAAACTTTTCTTCATTGTGTTTATTTCTTTAGTGAACTTTTCTTCTAGGTCCTGGAGGCTTTTTGTGGTTTCTTTGTGTTGGTTATGGAGTTGTTGTTGCAGGTCGGTGAGTGTTCTTATGATCCACATACGAAATTCCTCTTCTGTCATTTTGGTTACCTGATTTTGGTTGGTGTCCATTTCTAGTGGGCAGTTGCTCCTCTTTGGGAGTGTGTTTTCCGTTTAGTTCTTCATATTTCCGGAGTTCCTTTGCTGATTTCTTCCCATGTCGATCAGTTGTTTCTTTTCTTTAGGTTTTTGTTTGGGTATTCACATGCCTTGTTTAGTTTCTGAGCCGGTAGGTGGTGTCTGTGGGTGTGATTCGACCACTCCTTGTATAATGAGTCAGTGGGTGTCGTGAAAAGGGTGTGCAGGATGTCCTCCCTGTCAGTAGGTGGCACTTGCTTGGAGGAACAGGCTATGCTGTTGTTTTTGTGTCCTGTTATCAGCTCTTGTTCTGGGCAGAGCTGGGTTGGGTAAGCCTGCCCTCAGGCACCACCAATGCCATTAGCAGGGGTCAAAGTTCTGTTCTCTGCTTCCAGGAAAAACTGTCAGGGAGGGGCTGGAATGGCCCAGCTCAGTCAGAGAGTCTGCGTATGGGGGTGGGGCTGTCTGAGACCCGCACTCTGGAGCGGACCTCACTTCTTTCCACCCTCCCCAACTCTGCAGCTACTCCTGGGCCTCTTCCAGCAGGCCAGACCACACACCATCAGGCCTCCCCTGGCTGTGTTGCCGGCGGGGAGGTTCCCTGCGCAGGAATGCCACCTGGGCTGGGCATACAGCCTCCTTTTGGGAGGAGGGTTGCCCTCTAGGATGCTGATCTGCCTCCTGTAGGCACACACACCTCAGTAGGCCGTTCATGTATATCCCTTCTGTGCCCCGGGCAATGGGAGACCTTGGTATGTGGGATATGATCTGCAGGTCTGACCTCTGGGTCCTAGAGTTCAAACTATATCCCCACCAGGGAGAGGAGTGCCAGTCCCAATTCACCCACAGGGAGCCCACGCTGGGTCTATGTCTCTCAGCCTCAGGGTCTGCACCGTTCTCCTGGGATCACCGTGCCAGCACCACCTGGGAGGCCTGGCGGGTAGGGAGCTCACAGTCTGAGTTCCCTTTATTTAGCTGTAGGGTCCCAAAAGGGAAGGTCCCATTCCCTGGAGGTGCCTCGGGCTGGTGGCTATATTGTCTCCCTGGGCAGCTGCGGGTACGGTCCGCGGAGGGGAGGAGGAGGCAATATGGCGCCTGCCGTGAAGCTCGGGTCTGTGTACACGGAGTGCCCCGAGGGATTTGGGAGCCTGGTGCCGCGTCCACTATAGGCTTACTGCTCGCTGGTGGCTGCCGTCTCTGGGCTGGTGTCTGCAGGTCTCTCCACCTGCTGGGGAGCCCACCAGCAGTCTCAGATGCAGGGGAGGGGAAAGGTGACTGATCCACCCACACTTGCTGCTGGTCTCCGGGCTGCTCGGGCGGTATCAGCTTCTTGTTCTCCTCCGCAACCTTCTTCCATGGTGTCTCCTGTGGTTTCAGGTACCCCTCCTTCCAGCCCTCGTCCGCTGTATGCTCGTCTTCTTGCTTTCTTTTTTTAAATTTCTGCTAGAATCTGTCTTTTCTGCAGAGACACTCTGTCTGGTGGTGTTTCTTGTCCTCCATCTTGACCCAATCCCCACAGAAGGTTTTGAGTGCAAGGGAAAGGTCAATTGGCTCACTACGTGTGTGGCTAAAGCTATGAGGCCCGGCTGCCAGAGCAGAGCACTGGTGCTTTGGGAATGATGGCTGAGCAATTAAGCATTCGAATGTGAACTAAAAAAAGTAACTCTGAAGTCTAAGTGTGTATCACCATGAAGACTGAGGGATCTGGATCAGTGAGGGCATCCTGGTAGCAAAGGTCAACCTTTCCTAGACTGCAGGACCAGTCTCAATAGCAACAAGGCAGCAACAGAATGGACAGAAACAACAGAATGATTGAAATGTCTTTTTATTCCCTTTCTTTGTTTAGATTTTACAAAATTTTTTAGAGACAGGGTCTTACTCTTGTCACCCAAGCTGGGATGCAGTGGCATAATCATAGGTTACTGGAGGTTCAAACTCCTGGGATTAAGTGATCCTCCTGCCTGAGCCTCCTGAGTAGCTGGGACTACAGGTTCGACCCACCACAATTGGCTAATTTTTTCTATTATTTAGTAGAGTTGAGATCTCACTCCCGCACGGGCTGCTCTTGAATTCTTGAGCTCAACCAATCCTCCTGCCTCGGCCTCCCCTAGTGCTAGGATTACAAGCGTGAGCCAATGTGCCCAGCCCTGCAGGACCAGTTTCAATAGTTAAAATGCAGTAACAGAAACAACAGAATGATTGAAATATCCTTTTATTCCCTTTCTTAATTCAGATGTTATACATTTTTTTAGAGACATGGTCTCATTCTGTCACCAGGCTGGGGTATAGTGGCATGATCATAGCTCACTGCAGCTTCAAACTCCTGGAATCAGGTGATCCTCCTGCTTCAGCCTCCTGACTAGCTAAGAATACAGGCACGTTCCACCATCATGGCTTATTTTTTTTTAGAGTTGGGATCTAGCTATGTTGTCCAGGCTGGTCTTAAATACCTGACCTCAGGTAATCTTTCTGCCTCACCCTCCCAAAGTGCTAGGATTAGAGCTACCATGCCCAGCATTGTCCTCCTTCAGGCTTGCAATAGGGACTGTCTTCCTTGCACTTAAGGAACCCCTTAGTTTCTCGAAAAATTCAAGCAGGAGGGTAGAGGATATAACCCCCAGGGAACAGTACAAGATTTTCTATTGAACTGGACATTTCAAGACCCAAAGAACAAATTAGCAAAATCAAGCATGTGACATGATTTTTCTCCCCATGAATAGGTGTTATACTTGAAATGAAAAGGACAATGTTGGGATCCTTACGAAGGATAAATGTCTTAAAAGTCATGAGATAAAGAATCTTGCACCCACTGATATTTCTAACTAGTCTAGTCTTTTGTTTGATTTCTGGCTGATGATGTGGACTAACTCTCTGCCATTCCGAAATTCCCTGAATCAAACTATGAAATCTCTCTCATCTGATGTATAAGATACAATAGTTCTAATTATGTTAAACCTCAATTTAGTGTTAACTAGTGTTTTCATGTAAATACTTACCTATTAAAACCACTAGCAATGTCATGATCTTCTGCAGCCTGTTCTAAGAGAACTTCAGAAGAGACATCACCACTTTGCTGAAGAAGACTGACTATACGTGATGACTCAGAGTCTGCCGCAAGCATGAGAGCATTTCTAAAACAACAGACAGATAACTTCACCCTTTGGAGCTTTAATAAAGTTACGTTTAATAAAGGCTAATTCATTATTCTTTACCAATTTAATATCTTGCCTGTCAGTGTAGAATTAACAATTTATATGTACTAACAGACACAAGTGTCTTGGGTGTTCAATGTTCATCTTTGTAAATTACCACCAAGACTAAAAGCAAGGGACAAAAAGGAAGCCTCTCATCTGTCACATTGGGGTATGACGGTGGAAGTTGCTAATTCTTTGCTGAGATCACTTATCTCAAGTAGGTAAAGAATTAAATGAAGACATCTTCCTTAGTCTGATATAATATATTGTCATTCAAAGTACCAAGGGGTCAGATAACAAAGAATAGGCTTAAAACAATAACATTACTAATAATGGTAATATTATGACAGTAATCATAGCAGTTTCAGTCAGTGATGCTTATAAGCATATGGTAGGCAATGAATTAAAGTAATTCAGTGATTACATATAAATATAAAATAATATATATATTTCTATATATAATCTTCCTTATGCACAACCACCCTCGAAGGATATATTATCCTCCTTTTCATATCAGAAAACATATCTGATGGTAAGTCATGTTTCCAAGGTCACACGCCTAACAAGTGGGGAAGCCAGGAATTCAACCCAGTCTTGTGTGACTCTAAAGTCTCTCTCCTTTCTCTTTGTCACCCAACTATGGTTTGTCTTCATGAAAGGAAAAGTTTATCCATTTAAGCTTTCTTCCCTCCACCTATACTGATTAAAAAGAAAAACATAAAAATACCACTAGAAATGAAAAAGAAAAACACTTGATGACCCCATACTATCTGGTAACAGCAATCAATAGTCCTTTAGGGATAACCTAATATCAACATTCATCAAAAAAAGCCAGTTACAGCAAGTGAAGAGTCATCCCAACAACAAAATGATTTTCAACTCCAATTTATGTTTACTATAGAGCATTTTTAATGGAGAAGTATATAAGAAACAGAGGTTTAAGAAATACTACAAAAGCATTAAGAAGTTCAGTATTGAGTCAGAAAGTGAAGTAAACTTTAAAGTCCACACTTTAGAAGACTATGAAAACATGAAACCCCTTCAGGTAATATAATGTCATATGACCAAAACCATTAGATTATAAATAATTAAACATCAGTCACTATTATAAGAAAAGATGAACCCTACTGTATACTGTTCTTTATATTGTCCAGTCCAAATAATTCCTTTTCTACTTGACTGATGATTTATGTTTTTCACTATATCCCAATAATTTTAAGTTAATCTTTTCATTAATTTATAATAATATTTCTGACTTGAGTGACTGTTACCACTCTAGAATAAGACTCAGGTTTATTAAAAAAGAAAGAAGAACTAACCACTGTACCTTTTCAACTTATCAACTGCATTTATGTTTGCTCCAGCCTTTACTAAAAACTCCACCATTTCCTCTCTTTTTTCACTTACAGCAAGTAAAAGTGGTGTGAGGTGACTCTGTAAGGCAGCAAAACAATTTATCATTCACAAATTTACATATTTCTCAATTGAACTGAAAACCGTATATGAGATCCCATGAACCTAAACGTACAGTACAGAAAGGAAAGCAAAGGTATTCCTTTCCTGCTCACCCCTCTATGCCTTCCATGTGCTGCTCCCTCCCTTGGAAACACCCCTCCTCTGCCTCTCCACATTAACTCCCATCATCTCCACAATCACTTCAAACATTCATGGGCAGCAAGGATCTTTGCTTCTATCACAGCATTTATCACAGTACACTGCCATTATGTTATTGTTTCCCATCTACACCAAGAGCTTCTTGAGGGCAGGGGCTGTATTCTTCATTTCCACATTCCGAACCCTAAGACATAGTAGTAAATGCTTTAAGTATTTTTATTGAATTAAAGATCTAAGTTGTTATCTCTACAATAGTGTTTCTTAAACAGCATTCCAAAGAATATCTACTTTACCAGAAGTTAAGGACTGTACCCCAACAGAAAGATTCCGTGGCCATCTACATTAGAGAAATATTACAAAACTGTGCATTATGACCAGTACCAAAGAAATCTCTTGAATTTTGCCCAATCCCTATTTGGCAATAATTTCCTGTGGAAGGTTAACATGTGAGGAATTAGACCCTCAGGGATACTTCTGAGAGCTTTTCAGTAAAGGTGGAGGTTTCCTCCAAGTGACACAAACTCGCTTGATTCTCCTCCCTCAGTGGTGTGAGGAACCCAGGTGCCAACGGCAGGCACTCCTGCTCCAAATGGATCACTAAAGAACTGAAGGTATGAATTAAAAGAGATAGGCTTCAAAGAAACTTGGATTCCTTACTATTAAATGGTCCATGCAGCTCCTCCTGTGACAGATTTTTATCTGTCACAGATAATAGATCTGTCACAGATGATAGATTTTTATCTTAGTTCAGTTTGAAATTTTAGTCTCAATTATAACGATAATACTGGGACCCTAATGTATTATCTACTTTATTTTAATCCATTTTTATTCTGGTTTCCATTTAAATTGCCATGTAAAAATATTTTCCATCGAGATCGTCGCCGATCAGCTAGAGGAAGAGGAAGGTGGCTGACCTGGAGCTCCTGTCGGTGCTGACATGATGACAGTGTGCAGAGCAGAGGCCAGACGCAAGCCAGCCGGACAGGGAGCTGGATCCTAGCTTGGGCAGGGGCCAAGAGCCAGGAATTGGCAAACGCTTTCAGAATGCTCACTTCTCGGTGCTAAAGCAGGTCTAGAAACTTGAGCAGGCTTTGAAGCTCCTTTCCCAGCCCTGGGCAAAACCAACCTTGTCAAGAACTTCTTGCCGGGTTCAGGAACTGAGGTGATTGAACTGTGCCATGTGCTTGAGTCCTGGCTCAAACACGTAGACTTTGAGTCTCTCTTCTCTCTAAGCATCGGCCACCTGGTCTGTGTTTTTGTGTTCCTGCTTCTGGAAAGGAGGATCACCTTCATTGCAGACAAGCTCAGCACCCTTTCCAAGTGCTGCCACGTGACAGTGGCACTCGTCCACCCCTTCACCTGGCAGCACACCTACATCCCGTGCCGCCGCCTGCCATGGTGGACATCGTGTGCTCATAGACCCCCTTCCTCATCGGGCTGCTCCCAGCTCACTGCCGCTTCTCGGGGAGCTGCTGCTGGAAGAAGTCCTTGTGACCGACCTGGTCAACAGTCGCTTCCTCAGACAGATGGAGGACAAGGATTCCATCCTGCCTCTCAAGCTGCAGGTGGCCCTGGAACACATTCTGGAACACAGGAATGGCCTGGCTTGTGACTAGGAGGAAGGGTCCCCTGACTGCAAGCACAGCTCCAAGTCCAGCCCACTGAACGAGGTAGTGTCGGAAGCCTTTGTCCGCTTCTTCGTGGGGACCGTGGGCACTACTCCTTGTTCCTGACGTCAGGCAAGCGCGAGGAAAGGACCCTGCAGCAAGAGGCCTTCTGCAAAGCTGTCTCCTCCGAGAGCCTCCGCCGCTTCCTGGAGGTCTTCATGGAGGCCCAGATGTTTCGAGGTTTCATCCAGGAGCGGGGGCTGCGCCAGCAGGATGTCAAGGTCTATCTGAGGTCCGAGCCCAAAGTATCTGGAAACACTCTCCAGTGGAGAGCACAGCGGTGTCAATAAGTTCCTGAAGGGAGTAGGCAATAAAATGAAGTTTCTCCACAAGAAAGAATCTTCAGCTCAGCCTCAAGGGACAATTTCCTCCTAGTGCAACCACATGCTTTAAAAACAGTTCCTGGTGGCCTTTATGAAAGGCTGGGTCCTTGGCTGTCCCAGTGCTGGGCTGGAGACCAGGACGGTTTCCCGCCACCACTGAGCTCTCCGCCACCAGGGCCTGAGAGCTGCCCAGCGGACGCCATGGAAAGGGAGCCTGAGGCCAGGCCTGCGAGGACATGCAAATGGACTGTTTAGGTTTGGGGATTGGGGCTTTTAAAATCTTAGATATTAAAAATAAGAAAAGTGGGTTTTCTTTCTATTATTCCAGGGCTAGGAAAAATCTCCTAGCACTACTCTGTCCTTCCCTGGTTCATCCTGTCTGGCGGCTCAGCTCTGGAGCCCGGAGCGCCAGCCCAGGGATCAGAAAGAGGCTCTCCTCTGGGCAGGACTGGGGACAGGCATGGGACGTGAGCGGGGAGGGAGGCTGGGAAGCCTGGCAACGCCTGCCACTCGGTGCCCCCAGGTTCGGAGCGATCCTCTTGGTGAGCAGATGGGCCCTTCCGCTGGAGCAGAGGCCACGGAGCAAGGGGAGCGTTAGCGGATGTGGCTTCCCAGAGGGCCGAGCTGCTCCAGAACGATCAGTGATGCCCCCTGATGGCCGAGGCTACAGACTGCTCTCTCCCCAATGGACCTGACTCTTCTCCAGTGCCTTTTTCCTCTTACGAGTCATAGAACTGAGCCAGGCTTGGCCTGCGCCTGTGGTCCCAGCTACTCAGGAGGCTGAGGTGGGAGGGTCGCTGGAGCAGTTCCCAAGTTCAAGGCTGCAGTGAGCTGTGGCCACCCTACAGCACTCCAGCCTGGGAGACAGCAAGACCCTGTCTCAAAATAAATAAGTAAAAAGAAGCCATAGAACTGTCCATTACCTAAGTCTGTGGCTTTTAGAGATACACACAAAAAGAAGAAATCTCATGAGATCTGTTAAAGAGGTTCTTGGCGTCCTAAAGTTTATCATACTGCCCAGGGCCACCTCGCAACTCACAGGCCAACACTTTGGCCCTATTCCCATTTACACTATATGAAGTATTCTCATCTCACTCCAGGAACCTGGGCCAGCGTACGTGAAACAGTGCCTGTGCAGGCTCAGTGACAGGGAGGGGTGACACACTGGGGCAGCTTCATCAGATTGTGCAATCAGAGAGGCAGCTCGCATCATCTGGACCAGAAGCAGGGAGGGTGCTGGAAAAGGCCACACCTCAGGGCAACCTGAGAGCTGGCCAGTGGCACGGAGATGGGAGGAGTCCCACACGCAGCACAGGCAAGTCCTCAGAGCCAGCCTCAGGGCCACCCCGGCAGCCCTGTGCCTGCAGACCACACTGTACATCCCCTCTGGATGCCGCCCATGACGCTGACAGAGACACAAAAGGGTGTGCTGTGACCTGGTGACTGCCCAGGGGCCCGTGCTGCCTGGCAGAGGGTCTCAGCCTTAGGGAGCTGGGAACAAAGGGCTCTTCTGAGGAAAGATGGGAACGAGAGGAAAATGAGAAGGGGCAGATCTCTCCTTCTACGTTAGGAGTATCTACCACTTAGCAGGAGCTGTGGACCACTCCCAAATTGTATCTAAGATTTGGTGTGTCCATTTATTTTTCAGGAGAGAGGAGTCATACTTTACATCTGATTTTCAAAGGCCTCCCAGAATGGTAGGGACCACGCTACGCATCAAAATTAACCTGGGTAGATGTGTGTGGTTGGGGCTTAGGGGGAAGTCTGAATGAGAGTCTCTGAGTGTAGAGGCCCAGGAATGTGTATCTAATAAGCTCCTCCAATTGGTGAACTTCATTAATATTTTGCATATTTTTATATTGCCTAGAGATGATCACTTTTAACATTTTGGAATATACTTTCCCTCCTAACTTATTTCACATTATGTTGTTTACTTAATACCTCTAAGTGAATAAATATACATCTTTTCAACACTCCTAAAAAAATTTTCTATCTTAGGAAAATTATAAATATGAATTAGAAATATGTATATAATGGTTTATTAACTGAAGTTCTAATACAAACCTATATGGATTATTTCTAGCAAAATGAGAGCCCCTAAATCACCCATACTTTGATGACACGATGCTCAGGAGAAAGATATGATGTGGTCTGCAACATGCATAACCTATTCAGCTATAACCACGCTTAACCTAAAAAGGCTTAGAGGCATTCTAATGGGAGGGTGAATATTTATGATATACATAAAGAAAAGAGTTTTTTAAGAAAACTTCTAAATTCTAACATTCAACCCCATTACTAAAGGACTAACATATAGTATACACTATATAGTATGAACAAGCATAAACTCTCATAAAAACTTTCAAATCTTAATCAAAATGTACTATAAAACAGGACTTATACACTCAAATACTTACGGAGACAAAGTAGGTGACCTGAGAAAGAGAAGTACCTGGGGGGCACAGGAGCAGACAGGAGAACATACACCCCCTCCAAGGGGCAGCCTCTGTACAGCTTACCACATGGAAACATGGGCTTCAGGGACACCAGATTTGATTCATTAGGAATAGCCTGAAATTCAGGTTTCTGCAAGTCCCCTAAATTTTACACATAACTCAATTTATGGAGGCAAACTCAACCTACCTACAGGCCCCATTTAGACTACAGCCCTTGTGTTTTTAACATTTGCTATGGATGTTCCAAATGGTTGTGCATAAAGCAAGTACTTGTAGGTAAAGGCTTTCCTTTCTTTACCATCATAGGTTTTACCAAAATATCAGGCCCAACATGTAATAAAAATTGCTACTAAGACTCACAATAAATAAACTACTCATTTACAATCTATTGGTATTTTATTTTCCCAGATTGTTACTCAAATGGTTAATTAGTTCATAGGACTGTTGAAACTAAAACATTACAAGAATTCCTGTCTGTATTCTAACAAACTTTATGATTGCATGTTTAAAACTTCCATCTTGATTATACCCAAGCCCTAGTAATGTAACAGACATACTCAGTCCATAATCCAGCCACAACTGAAAGAAAAGTTCAGAATTTGCTACTATGCTCATTGAGAAAATCCTGCTTGTAGTAAACATTTGATGACCTAATCACCTGAATTTGCAGAGACACAAAATCCTGAAAGAGTCCATACCTCTACTTACTGAAAGATTGCCCATAAGGAAATTTCTAAAGACCCTCCGGATAGCAGTTAATGATTGATAGTTGGAAGGAAAAAGGTGTTATTCTATAAGCTGACAGATATTGATAATAATATTCCTTTTAACTTCCATGCCACAGAAGATGTCAGTAAAGAGAAAGATAAATGTCAGGCTAATATAATATTAGTGGAAAGGAGAGATTTGAAGGAAGTAGCACCTATCAACTCTAACTCTTCTAGAGATTCTTAGGTTTTGAAATATGAGAATTTATACTTTACATTTATATATTCAGTTATTTTAAACCAAAATTGTATCAGAATCTTGAGGAAAAAACAATTCCTTCCTGGTTAGAGAAAGGGTCTCACAATGTAGCCCATACTGAACTTGAACTCCTGGGCTCACATGATCCTCCCACCTCAGCCTCCCATGTGGCTGGGAGTACAGACACGTGCCACTGTGCCTGGCTTTGAGGAAATATTTTTAAATAAACCTGTCCAGGCATTATTAGGTTTACTAAATCAAAATCTTTACAGGAGAGCCTAGACCTGAAGATTTTTCTTTTTAATTTCCACAAGTCACTGTGATGCACAATTCTAGCTGAGAACTATTGCAGCAGACAACCACTTCAGTGTCATTTCTCACTCAAATGGCCAATTCCAATTATCATTTGGGGATTTGGCTAAAAAGAGGAAAGAGTAAGAGAGAGCACTCCTGCATGCAGGTAGAGTAGGGACTAATAAACTCAAAATGCAACTGGATTTTGCTATTTATAATCTCCTTAACTCCCATCTCCCCATCAAGACACTCCAGTAGACTCTTATCTAAGTGGCTGTTTCTGCAAGAATAGGACAATGACTCAGCTAATTATTCATTCTTCCCTCTTCTGAGGCTTCCCCCCTTTAGCAACACCTCTTCACTATCAATCTGGCTTCCCCAGTGACCTCCTAAAACTGATCTCTAGGCAAGTTTACAAGTCATCAACTCTCTTTCACAAAAAGAGAATTATTATTCTCAAAACCAAGCATTACCTGGTCTAAGCATGTATACTGAAAGCCAACGCACAAACACACACACAAAATGTCTTCTTGGTATTTTCCCTCAATTTCCAAACAGGCCTTCATGTTTATGACTGATCTCCTTTTCCCTTTCCATTTGTTCCCCTTAACCCTTGCCACTGAGAGAGAAATCACTTTCATATCAATCACTTTTTAAAGAACTTATCAATAGAAGCTAGACTTCCATTTATCATAAAATTCTTTAGTTTTGAGTTTTAAGACAAAGCCTATTGCCAGGGCAAATTTGGCTTTCCTGTGTAGTTTTACACTAATTAGAAAAAAACACTTGGGTTGGAAAAAAACAACTCTTGAATAAACAAGTTTTACATTTAAATTAAGTGTTGTCACAAATGTTGACCAAAAGTGCATAGAGGAAAGCTATACTCCCTAGTGCTTCTTAAAAAGTATCAATATTTAAAGTAAAATCTTAGACGATTAAGTTATTTTAAAATATGTTCATTCAGGGAATGCTTGATTGAGATCCCACATATGGAAAATTGACAGTTACATATGTCAATGTTAAGACAAATGCATTTCAAATATTTTCAAAATAAAGTTGATCTATACCTTGTTTTTTGGGTCAATAAATGCACCGTGTGAAAGCAGTTTTTCTGCTATTGCTATGTTCTGGTGATAGGCAGCATAGTGAAGAGCAGTGTTGCCATAGAGATCGTGAACGTTTGGATCGGCACCATCTTCCAGCAGAACAGTCACACATTCCTCCTCCTGGCATTGGACGGCCTGTCAGTATTAGACCAAGAAACAGACAGCAAGTTCTAGGAATTCAAAATAAACTTTCCACAGATTTCACCAATGAGTCATACTTAAAGGAGTTACATTCATTTTTATTCTATGTATTTAAATCCAACCCATCGCATGCTTAAACAGCTGGCTGCTACATACCTTTATCAGAGCTGTCCTCTTTTTGTTGTCATGCCTGTTAAGTTGGCACTTGTTGTCTACCAGGAGTCTTACCACTTCTGCATGGCCATTGGCACAGGCCAAATGTAGAGCAGTCCTATGAAAGTGAGAGGACTTGTTAGGAAATTGTAGTGCACTATCTCAAAACATACAATGATTCACATAATTGTAAACAATAAATCGGATGTGATACTTCTGCCTTCAAAACAAATATTTGATCTTCTTGTGAAGAAAGTGTAATGCTTATTAGTTCTTATTCCTCATTAATTAATGAAAGAGCAGCCTGTTTGTACACAATAAGCTTGGCCTTTGGATTCAGGGCAAGTTGGGTTTGAATCCTACTTAAGGTTGTCACTTACTAGCCTTTCTATATCTCAATTTCCTCATCAATAAAATGGGGATGAAAATAGCAGCTATCACACAGGACACCATGGTGATGCTTAAATGTGAATCTACACAAAGTATTTAGAGCAGTTCTTAGTGCAAATAGCAGCTCAATGATTGTTAGATATTATCATTATTTCTATTACTATTTATCAAAGACAAGACAAAAATTCAGTAAATGATACAACTATACCTACTTTGTGGTTGGTTTTAAAGATTAGAGATAACATTACAGTTCAAAGATTCTAAGATACTCCTTTTCTTACATTTTAACATCTCTGACATTGGAATGCCACTTGTCATTCATGATTTATTTCAGACATATTGGGTAACATTTTAAATATTCTCTTATTAATAAGTAAAATAATGGGTCATCACACAATCCATGGTGCCCCACAATAAGTGAAATATGGCATATACAACAGGTCTGTGGCAGTTCTAGTCACATGATTAGCATTTAAATAAATTTCACTTCTTAACAGTATTATAGAAAAAGAAGCCTGAAAGAACAATGAAATGTTTTTAAAACAAAGTATTAATAGTTCTTACTTTGATTTTCAAAAACCTGCAATGAAAAGCAAACTCAGGTTTCAAATAAATGGTTATGGCTCATTTTTTCAAAATAAATATTGAAATGACCACCTCTATTTGCTATTTTTCATTTTCATAAGAGTACAACTAAAATAAAATGATTCTTATATAATAGTTGGCATATATGTAATAAATCTATATATAACAAAAACATATGTCTATGATAAAATGTGTACATAATAAAATTTACAAGCACACATGAAAAGATTCCCTTTACCTCTGAAGAGGCTTAAAGTTGGCCGAAGATTCCAATCCACACACACACAAAATAGGAAGTAAGAAATTATTTCTATCTGTGCAAGATTCATATTTTGGCTCTTTCTAGGGATCATTTCATTAATAATAAACTTTCACTAGAATTTTTATACATGCTCATTGCAGAAATCACAGAAGAGAAAAAGGAAAACATTTCCCTTATAATACAAATGCCCAGAATTAACAAATTATATCACATTTTTAAGTACTTTTGGTGAGGGCAAGACCATAGGGTGATTGTGTGTACTGATATTTTAATAATCAGAACTGACATTTTCTCTCAATTGATATACTAAATACTTCTCACATGTCAACATACATCTGTATCTATGCCCACATTCAATGGTCATATATTGTTTTACCCTTGGATGCACTGGAACTTACATATAAAATCCATTATATGGATTCTTCTTAGTACATTGCTATTTTAAAAAGTGAAGAGAAAAACAAATTGCATCTATCTCTCAATATTTCCTGCTTAGGAAATATTATTTTTATAAAATGGAATGATACACTTTGTGGATAAATCAAATGCCTTTTCTTACAAGTAACACTAAATATTTTATCCTATATGCATAGGTCAATTGCAGATCTACAAAACAGTATTTTGCCCAATTTTAAATTAAAGTTCAGGTTTTTTCTTGTTGATTTGAAAAAATTCTATGTATAATTAACATACTATTTTTATTATCATACATTTTTCAGCTGATATACACGTTTGTTTGTGTGTGTGTGGCTAATATGTTGTCTTTCATTTTGTTAATTTCTTTCTGACATATGGAGGGTTTACATTTTTTTTTTTTTCCGCCAAATCAACCTTCACAATCAGTGCTTGCTTGTTAGGTCATTCTCAGGAAGGTCTTTATCAACATAAAAATATCTGTATGAATAGGCATTTGTGTTTTTTTCTGGTACTTTTCTCATTTTCTATTTTTAAAATTTGTGATTTCTATTCCTTCAGGAACTTATTTTTGTGACATAAAAATCTAGCTATGTTTCTCAAAAAAGGTAACAGACATTTCATTTACCAATAATTCACCTTTGCCTTCTACTACAAAATGTCACCATTATCAAGTTCTAAATTCTTACATATATTTTTTGGTGTTTCTGGATTTTCTATTCTGTTCCCTTCACTTTTTCTCTTCAACAGTTAGTAAATGATCAAACTATGGAAATAGCATCCTTTCATATCCAGAAGGGTAAGGCTTTGCTCACTGCATTTCCAAATTTCTTAATATCATCACAATAGTAAAAGGCAGACAGCATGTGTCACTCAAAAATTTTAAAACCTTCATATTTTTATTTGGCTTATGTAGATTTTTTTTGCCCAGAAGTCAATATAATATGGGAATTATTTTTCTCCTTAAGCACCTTTCTATAATGTACATAACATGTTTTAAAATGTGTACACTAAAAATTAAACACTACATATACTTAATTTTGTTCCTTAAATCACTTGAAAATTGTTGTTAAACAGCTCTAAAGGGGGAATGAAAACCAGCAAAAGTTTTGTTTTTGTGTTGCTGCTCATAAAGATGGCCCGAGCGGGGTCCCCTACAAGTGCTGTGGGGCCTGTGGAGGGAGGAGAACCCAGGCCCCTCAGAGACAGGAGGGCCATGAGGCCCAGTCTAGGAAAGAGCGTTTCCCCCACACCCTTCTGGACCCCAGCCTGGCAGGTAGTTCCTATTACCTGCGCACAAAATCTTTATCATTCAGGATCCAGGGTTCCTCCGAAAGCAAACGCTTCACTTTCTCCACATCACCCTGGCAGGCAGCTCTGTGGATCGGCTTGAGGTCTGCCGGGTGGGTCTTGTACCAGGTCTTCGAGTAGGCCTTCTGAGGAACCTCATCCGTGGCACCCACCAGGGTCTTCCACATGCTGTCAAAGGAGGACGACTCGCCCTTGCCCTCCTTCCTCCCGAAGGCAAAGAAGTTCTTCATGACGCTGGCTGTGGACTCTGGACACCTCAGCTACTCTGCTCCCCCTCCCAACCCGCCTTTGTCCGCCTCCCAGCCCAATCCAGGCAAGAAATCAGGTCTGGCCACAAGCTCCAATAAAAAACCGCAGCTTCCAGTCTCCTACCCCAAGTTAACCGCCAGGGGCGCCAGGCCAAGCCGCTAAGCACCACTGCGCATGCTCACCGATGGCAACGGAAAAAACAGCCGTCCGGGCCGCTCTCTCGTGCTAGCTGAGGAGTCGGGATCTCTACGCCCACTACCGGGTGGATGCACCTCAGGCAGCGCAGCTTGGGCGCCTGCACGGGTTGCCGGCTCCCCCGGGGCTGCTTGGGGGTCCCCTAGCACGATGCCCGCCCGGCCTGCGGGCTGGCGGCCTGGCTTGGCGCTCCGGCCAGGCCGGCTCCTCCTCGCCCCGCCTCCATCGCGCAGGGGGCGCCGGTGCTGGGCGCTCGGCTGCGCCAGGCCGCGCTGAGGGCCGGTTCCCGCTTCCTGACCGCCCGGCCGGGCCGGGGCTGCCGGGCCACCGCGGCCGGGCTCCTCCCGCCTGTGCCCGGCGGCCAGCGACCACGCGGAGCGCCCGCGCCGCCTGGCCGCTGAGGAGCCTGCCTGCAGCCGGCCGTGAAGCCGCCCTGTCGCTGGTGTCAGAAAGGAGACGCTGGTAGGCGGGTGGGGTGATGAACAAGAACGTGAAACGGGGACAGCACGCGTTAACTCCTGTAAAGCAGGTCCCTAAGTTCGTTTGTGCAGAAACTTTTGGGTCCACGAGGGAAGTCTGTGAAGCCTTTACAAGAAGAAAACTCGACAGAACGTCCATCCTTGGAAGAGTTTCCATGAGAGAAAGGCAAAGGCAGAACGATTGAGGGAAAGTGGAGAAGCAAAGTACGTCCACCTCCAGGATGATCTTCCTCTCATTGAAGTGTTTGTCAACTTGCAGAGGCTTATGCCTGCTTGGGGCATGTTTAGAGAGAAGTCGGAAAGTTCCTCATCCCTGTCTATAATGACGAGATGGGGCATCTACAGCTCCAGGAATTAACATATTGGAAAGGTGGTTCAGAAAATGCAGATGCTGTAACGGTTCCAGGGAAAAGCACCTCATATACAAGAGGTCTACCAACCCCAGACTAACCAGGGAATGGGCAGCAGTCACAGCCCAGCCTGTTGGAGTTGCTGTACCAAGAGGGATGCCGACTCCTAGGAGAATCCTTTCCACCCCTGGGCCAGTGAGTCGGGGTAAAGGACTCCTCACTCCTAGAGCAAGAGGAGTCCTCCCAGCTGGGTCTAGATCACCACCACCCCCAACAGAAGAGAAATATGGACAGCATGACTATGATGATGGATATAGTACTAATGATGAAGAGTTATGATTCCTATGATAACAGTTATAGCTCCTCAGCCCCAAATAATGCTGATTACTATGATTATGGACACAGACTCAGGAGACTTAAAATTCCTATGTGCAAGGGGAGTGAACCGACACAAGGCACCTTAACCGGGGGCACACCACGAAGTGCGTGTTTGTGCAGACCTGCCATTAGCAGATACTGATTACAATGTCTGATGTCATGAAATAGCTGATTGCCATCAGTCCTGTATAGTGTTCAAAGTGATTTTCTATGAATGATCCTTTTTTAAAATCAAAATGCTTAAAATAAGAATGGATGGAAACTAAAACTACTGTGGTGAAACATCAACCTTGGCAGGAAAAAAAGACATGCAAAATTTTGTTATCTCCACTCTGAAAAAAATAGAAAAAGAAGGGAAAATAACTTGGATTAACTAGTATTAAATAAAAAATAGGTTTACTAAATATTTTAATCTATTCTTTTAACATGAAGTCTCACCTTTCATTTTAAAGGTGTCTATAGGATTAAGTTATTTTTCTTGCAGCTGTATGCTAGTTTTCTTTTTCCCTCTTGCCAGCCTGCATACAAAGGGCAGCCAATTACAAGTGCTTGAAATATTCTAACTCAAGTGTTGAAATACTCTGCAGTGTTAAGTTCTGCACGTCTCCTCATGCTTGATATTAAATAAACGTTGAGAGTAAAAAAAGAATAAAAAGAAACTCTCTTTAAATCTCTGTATTCAGAGTTTATTCCTCTTCCCTTCCATCTGGGCCCCAGCTAGCCTCCGTGGGAATTTAGTGGATGCAACAGCCCAAGGTTGTTTTCATGATTTTGGAGAGTGTGGCAACATGTGTCAACAAGCACAAACTTCTGTGGAAAAACCAATGCATATTCTTCAGAAGAAATGAACGTGCATTTCTGCTTGCCTCCTTCCCTCCCCTTTAGCCCAGCTATAGGATTATGTTTTATTTTTACATGGTATACATTTCAGAACTTTTTTCTTTAATGGCTATTCACTTGTCTAAAAAACCCCATCTTTCCTCATTAGCTTAAAATACTACTTTATCTTACCTTAAATTCTTTAGTATTTTTTTTGTCTGTTTCTGATTTTTTATTCTGTTCTGTTGAATGATCTGCTTCTGGCAACAGTGCTCCACTATTTTAACTTTTTAAATTAGAAATCTATTTTAATATTCATTGCAGTTCCAAAGTTCTCCTCCTTATCTTTCCTGCTAAATATTCCCTTGACAATCTTTACCTCTGTACTATTTGAAGGAAATTTTTAATCACTGTGCCAAGTTAAAAAGGATTGGTAGTGAGATTTTGATTGTAATTGGGTTAACAGAATTAATATTAACTGAGAATCAATCTTTTTAATGAGCCTATTCAAATAAATGTTATGCTTTCAATTTAACTCTTTTTTCTATGTCCCTTATTAGCTTTTGGTATTTTTTCCCTTATGTAAATCCTGCACACTTCTTGATATTTTTTATATAAGATTTTACACTTGCTTATTGTGATGGTATACTTTTTCTATTGTAATGTGTAAGAGATTATTGTTTTAAATTTGTGTATTCATTTGACAATTAGTGAAGAATTTTTGAAGCTACAATTTTGTAAAAGGAGAAAAAGTTAGCAATTTCTAGCAAATACTTAATAGTAGGCAGAAATTGGATGGTGGAAATTTCACCACAAAGATTTAACAATTTTTTTCTCAAGACAGGGTCTCGCTTTGTATTACAGGCTGGAGGGCAGTGGCATCATCATAGCTCACTGCAACCTCAAACTCCTGGGCTCAATCAATCCTCCTGCCTCAGCCTCCCAAGTAACTGGGGCTACGGGCATGTGCCACCATGCCTGGATAATTTTTCTATTTTTTTTAGAGATGGGATCTTGCTCTTGCTCAGGCTCAGAAGGATTTAATAGTGAATAATGGTATGATTCAGATGAAAAACAAGTAAAACTCAGACAAGATGGGCTGTTTTTATTAAAAGTTGACATGATTGCTAATAATTTATGAATATATAACATACTTATTTTTTCCTCAAATCCTATTACCCACATTTATTAGGAATTACCTAATATGGACATATAAAGTTTTTGTTTCTTCTTAATATTTTCTCTTGTTCCTTTGCTTTATCCACCTCAATCTGTTCCCCTCTCCTGTATCTAGTCATCGTAATAACTTTGTCCAGTCTTATTATCTCCATGAATATGAAGCTTCTTGTGCTCTACATATGGACCCGATTCTTTCATATCTTCTGAACTTCAAATATAAATGATCAATTTTCCTTGTTTCCTTCTCTTCCATCTGCAACACCTGGGTTTCCATCTTTATTACTTAGGAAGGAAAAATATGCTGATGCTGTACACCACAAAAACTGTAATTAAACTGAGATTAGAATATGAGGCTCAAGTGTGTTGAGGCTGACCTGCCTGTGTCTACTAGAGGTCTATGATCTGGGAAAATTGCAGCAAGGAGGCCATAACATTAAAACATAAGCACGTATTGGAAACCATCTATTCTAGGCATTGTGAGCTTCAATGAGGAAATAACAGAAGTGACCATCCTGGATTCAGAGAGGGATGCAAATGTAATGTTTAGTGCCACATTAGGGAGGAACACAGAGGGCCTAGAGAATCCTGTCACGGGGAGGGTGGTAAGTCAGGGGAGATGCACGGTAAGAAGTGAAAGCTGAACAAAGAATGGGTACGAATTGGCCAGTGAGAGTATGGGGAAATCAAGGATGGGGAGAGTGCGCTCTACAAAAGGGATATTATATCAACCAGACTTCAATCATGAAAGAAACCACCTGGAAAATGAATGAGGAAAGTTTAATATGGAGAATTATTAACTGTAGCAGTTGATTAACTGCAATAGTAAATCAACTGTAACAGTGAGAATAGCCATCTAAAGAATACCTTAGGGGGAGATTGATTTGAGGCTAAGGTTGAAGGGCATGATCAGTAGTTAGAGAGAATGGAGACATAAGAGAAAGAATAATAACTATTTGAAGAAAATCAAAAATCCTGGAATAGGGGGTAGGGCTGGAGAGATGCACTTAGAGCCCTAGAGGAGGGATTAGCCTTTAGGGGTGGGGGCGTGGGGGTGGGAGGGATAATGCTCCTTCTGAAGTAAGTCAAAGAGGCATAGCTGGTGTGGCGCCCAGAGGTCACTTGGCAGTCATTACGGCCCCAGTGAGTTTGCATTTCACCAATTCAGAGTGGTGTAGTGTATACAGGTGTGTCCTGTTTCCTACGAAAGCATTGTCAATGGTATCATTTGCTCCTTAGTAGTAGTAGTGGCGGTGGTGTTTTTTGAGGGAAAATTTTTGGGAAAATAAAGTTATCCTACCTCAGTTTGTTTGTTTGTTAATTAATTAATTAATTTTCTGAGACAGAGTCTCACCCAGGCTGGAGTTCAGTGGTGTGATCATAGCTCACAGCAACCTCAAACTTCTGGGCTCAAGTGATCCTCCTGACTCAGCCTCCTGAGTAGCTGGCACTACAGGTGTGCACCACCACACCAGGCTAATTTTTCTATCTTTTTGTGGAGACTGGGTCTTGCTATGTCGCCCAGGCTGATATTAAACTCCGGGGCTCAAGTGATCCTCCCACCTCAGTTTCCCGGAGTGCTAGGATTACAGGTGTGACCACCATGCCCAGCCTCAAGTCTGTTTAGTTAACAGGTCCTCACTGAGTGCCTGCCACATGCCATGTGCTGTCTAGGTAAGGAGGTGGGGGTACAACATTGAACAAGATGCCCACAGTCCTGCTCTCAAAGTCCTGAGAAGGGACACTAGCTGAGACCTGAGGGACGGAAGGAGCCAGCCCTATGAAAGGTATCACAGAGGAGAGGGAGCAGGGAGAGCATACGCTAGAGGCGGAACAGTGTGGGGTGAGGTCGGAAAGGGAGGCAAGACCTAGATCACCTAGAGCCTCCTCCTGGGGAGGAGTTCAGA